TTCTGAAGATCATCAATAAATATATTTAACACACTTCTCCCAAGTGCTAAGGTATAATGAAATCAGCAGAACAGCACTGTAAGAGACTACCATTCCTTTTTAGCTACATTGCTTGAGAAGCCTCCAAAGGGCTTAGGTTTGCATCCTCACCACCCTACAACAGTGAATTTACTGGGTTATCCAAGCTCAAAATATTGGCAAACTTCTGAAGTTGATCGTCAAGTTGTCACAGGCATATAGAAACCATCCTCTTGTCTATTGCTATACATTGACACGTTAGTCCATAACATAACATTTCCAAAACCAACAACAGTTTCTGTGATGTGGAAAAAATAATGGTTGAAAAATATTTCTCAAAGGTGGATTCACTTATCTTGACTTCCCTGAATAAGGAAGGGCCCAACAATGAAAAAAGAAGTCCTTCCTCCCTTTTTTACAGGTAAGAAATTTAGTATAATTTAAACTTCTTCATTTGTCAAGTTAAAAAAAAATGTGATAATCAATCTAAATCATCCTTACATTAGATATGTAAGGATGGCAAAAAAGTACAATTAAGCTTTACTTCAAATATTCTGTTTGTACTATTTTTACTATGTGTAATTAAATAGCTCAATTTTAAATTACACGTAGTGACAATTGCTCTACAACAATTAATATGTGCAAAAAAACTTTGTGTAAACTTAAGAGGAATCATTTTCTCTTTCAATTACATTTTGATAAAAAAATTTACTATAAAAAATTTACTATGTGTAACTAACCTAAAGAAAGAAGTTAAACCTTCTAAATTTAATTATGCTGAACATGGATAAAATAGTTCAATTATAAATTATGTATTTATAATACCATCTGTGTCCCAAACCCAAGAGAATTTAAACATTCCAGATTCTTTCTAGTATTTTCCCATGCAGAACAAGTAACCTTTATTGTGCTTTGGGAGATTCACTGAATTTAATTAATTAGCTGTGTTTTTTAAGGCTTAGCCCACATTTGTGCAAGCAGTTCTTTAATTAAATAAGAAAAGACAGACTCCAAAGGTACACTAAGGCTGCAGTTCTCTAAAAAGTACCACCAATTGATTACATTACTAGAAAACTAACTTCTCCCACAATGGAAATGATTCATTTCCTTAAGTGAGAAAACATTATTTTAATTTCTGAAATTGTTAATTGCTTATTAGTTACTAATTTTTAGAATATACTAAAACAGCTACACATATTGATGAATGTGTATATTCTGAAGACCTGTATAAAATGAAAATGTACTCGATGTATTTCTACAACCAAATCTTTATCATTTGAAATCAATCGATAAATTTACAGACCAACATATCAGAGTAAACAAATAACATTACACAAATTTGGCCAGATCCAAGTTAAGAGGGATGATAAAAATGAAATTTAAAATAAATGTCTATATTCTCCTTCCAATTAAGTTTCCTTTCTGTCTCTTTGAATCTAGTCATGAAGATAAACAGAAGGAATACACTAAAGGCTATAAGCTGTAATTATAGGGTTCCCCGAATTTCAAATACAAACTCATGCTAAGACTAGGTAGCATAGATAGTGTGTATATATGTATTACCTATTTATATATGTATATGTCTGTGTCTATACATACAACATATATTCTATCTGGAAATTAATAGGCATCAGTAAAAAAAGAATGTACTACCCACTTGTGTTGGCTTTTCCCCTATAAACCAATGACCAATAATCATTAATTGACTCCAATTCAACAGGAAGGTCTCCCTCCTATAAGTACAGCTTCTGCACAGGTACTACTGGTGTGACTTGGGGTTCATGAAAGGAAGAAGGTGGGCTAGCTGACAATCCATTTGGAACATTTGATTTTGCTTGGAGTTTTGGGGTTTTTTTGAGAAGTAATTCACATACTATAAAATTCATGTTTTTAAAATGTACAATTCAATGATTTTTAGTATATTCACAAAGTTGCATGATCATCACTGCTACTGAATTCAAGACATTTCCATGATGCTTAGGGTTTTAAAATTTAAATTTATGCCAACACTATATCATCTCTTTCTTTGTAGTTGAGATTTAAGTGTTGGATAAAGGTGTGTACAGTGGTATAACTTGAGAATGTAGATACTTGCATATGCCATAAAAATAGACACAACATACATGTTTAGATAGACGGACTGAGAAACATGACTGCTGAGAGGTGCCTCTGCATTGTGGGATCTTTAACCCCTTCTCTAGCTGCCCTGCAATATCCATTTATGTATCTCACTATGTCCAAGACAATAGCTTTGCTCTAAAATATTTATTAATAGAATATCTTATTTTATGACATTTAAAAAATAAATTCGCATAATCTTCCTAACCCTCTTGCCAGATGGCAAGCTAGCAGGTAGACATGGCTTTTCAAGCAGTGTTAATTCTAACATTCAGGAGAGGTTGTTACTGAACAAGTGCAAGTTCTCAATGCCCTCAAAGATCTTCCCAACTCATTCTTATGAGTTTTCATTAACAGGGTTGCTAGTCTAAGACCTATGAATTATAACGCGTTCATTCCCAGGATAGATATCTTATTCTTCATGGGATTAAATTTGGAAGATGCTAAAAGGTATTTTCTAAGATACTTTGCAACTTTAATTAATTATAATTAGCTTATTTGTTATTTATTTTTTTATTTTTGCAAAAGAGCTTTACAAGGAAGATATTTATAATTAGCTTCTTAAACTACATATTGATCATCTAAAGAATTCATTCTGTTTCTGGATACTCTCAAATAAAAAAAAAAATAAAAAAAATAAAGAATTCAGTCTTTTAATGGTTGGAAACTGTATTGTTAATTGACACATTGAAAATGTAATTACAGTTTGTGGACATAAATTTGCCAAGTATATCACCAGGACAAATGCCTAAACATTATTAAAATGGTATAGAAAAAAAGGGGTTAGAGATATTAGTTAATGTATTAGAGATATTACAACAGTCCAAAAGAAATATCTATAGAAGGTATCTGATATGTGCAATTAGGAAGCCACAGCACTTGAACTTAAAAGTAATATCTGCTTTCAAAACAGAAACAAAGTTTAAATCCACTTTGATCCCTCAATAAAAACTATACACATTGACAGTCTTACATGTTATAATGTTATAAGTACTTAAAAAATAATATACTTCATACTATTTATACATACCTGTTTTGAAACAAAAAGGATTTCATTCCCAGCCTGCTCTTCTATTTTAAAGCACTCTCCAAAGATTTTATTCATAATGATGGTGGCAATAAGAAAATTAGAATGATACAAGCAGTAGAAGGGCTTCATTCTAAATGCTTAATAATATTTATTTTATAATTACTACCTTCAAACCTTTTTAAAGCAGCATGCTATATGACTTATATTAAAATTGGTTTTATTGAGGGGACAGTAGAGTTGGGAATTAGCTTCAAACCTTATCTTTTAACACTGTGTCTGTTAATAGTTACCTACTATAGCAGTATGTGGGATTTTATCAGTTCTTCAGACAGTTCTATAAACAAGGGGAGACCACTGGGTAGCAACAGTTGGGAGAAATATGAGGCTGATCGGTGAAGACCTGGAGAATAGACCCATATAAAGTGATATTATTCTAGTAAAACTTGAGTACTTCATAGTAGTAGGCTTCATAAAACTAACACCAACCAAAACTAAGAACACCAAAGGTTGTTTGGTGTTCAAACAACCACTTTGAACACCAAAGTGTGCTAGGTACTTAACATACAACACCCCTCATCCACACAACAATCTGCCAAGGAATCATGTACAGTACACATTTTATAGATGAGGAAAGATGTTCAATAACCAGCCCAAGATGCTGAACAGTGGCATAGGCATTAAAATGCCCAATTTGGATTCCAAATCTTGTGCTCTTAAAAAAAAAAAAAAAAAAAAAAAAGCAGGATTTGAACTCAGGTCTGTCTGACTACAAAATCCACATCATCCTTCTACCATGTCCCTCGGTACACATCCTATGCCATTCAGTTCAGCAACAGAGACAAGATGTACTGTGCGACTGTGCTACCCAAGGCCACTCTCTGACCACATAAAGGCAACTCTAGTTACAAAAGTGGAAGTCATCCCACTGTGGGTGACTTAATTAATAATGCCACCACAGTACTTTTCTTGGCAGAACATTTTAGCATTGGTGCTCAGTGCTGAAAATGCAATATTCTTTTATTTTAGTGAACTGATGTGGAGAGTGAGGGAACTATTATGCATCTGTATGAATCTATAAAATTAAAACATGTTGAAGAGAGACAATAATATTTCATCTGAAAAAATAAGTTGGATATCCTCATTTCCCAACACTGCATCTAGGAACAGTGTTGCTAATCACTGTTGAAGAAAGAGATCTATCATCGTAATTGGTCTAATTTTAAAAAAATACCACAATTAACTAATATATGAAACTGAAATTATTTTGATTCTGAAACTGTGTACTATAAGTCAAATGTCACTGTTATTCATATATTTATTTGTGGAAATAAATGTGGCAACAAACACCATTACTATGCTCCATATACCTTTGTGGTTTTTATTTTTCCTTCCAAGTGAGTTTGTATTTTTAACATTTGCTACAGACAGAGGTAAGTTTGAAACATCCTTGCGCCAGTCTTGAAATAGTTCACCTTCTAAAAGTCTTTGTGGATGTGACCATGAACAGCTAAAACAGTACTTTGCCAATTTTCTTTTTTTTCCTCATTTTTGAAAGTAGAAAGCCACTTTCTTTCTTTTCCCCTCTTTCTCTCAGCTTCTTATGAAGATTCCCCGTATAAATGCAACAGCTGGAGTTACCTACAAATATACAAACTGAAAGAAAAGAAATATTATGGGTTGGCTACTTGGGAGTCTCCTGAAATAAAAACACACCTGGACAGTTAGAATGATCTGAGAGTATCTAAATCAATCAAAGAGAAACACAGGGAATCGAACTCGTCACAACTGCTGCTTTAGGTACATTGCTCTGATAGGCACCGAGTATTTCCCATACCTTGTATCTATCCATTGGGTCTTCCTGCTGTAGCTGACTCTCTCGCATTGTCTGATATTCTTTCTCATATTTCTTCAGCTTCTTGGTTGGTACCTGCAGGGATCAGAGGAAAGGCATGTTAGACAAAGATATCATTTAGGAAAAAAAAAAGAAGGCTGATGTGTTTTGCAATTAAGTATCTGGCATTCTAAGGGAGCATGCCCAACTCAAAGTTAGGAGGAAAATCTAGATTCTAGAGCCAGGGTTGGCAAGCTTTTCCTATAAAGGTCCAGATGGAATATATTTTAGGCTTTTGGGGCTATAGGTCACAACCATTCAACTCTGCTGTCATTGCATAAAAGTTGCCATGGCTGATACAAAAATGAATGAGTATGGCTGTGTTCCAACAAAACCTTACTTACAAAACAGGCCATAATCTGTCCACCTCTGTTCTACAATACTGATGACGCCATAACCTTTTCTTGTGAATGTATTTAGTAGAGTTATTAATTTTAACTATCTTTCTTTAAATATAATTCACTCATAGCAAATTATTTTATAGAAATAAGAAATTGAGCAGCTAGAAATACTTAAAAAGTGGAATATACCAAAAAGAAAGAAGATTCTAAAGCTAGACACTGAAAACTCAAAGAAATATTGGATTATTGTGCTTTATGTAATAATAGAAAATCATCTAAACAACTCATCTATTTCTTGCTAAAATTATGTCATCCTCAAAAGACAGTTTACTCTTTTCTGAAAAAAGACTAGAATCCTACAGAGCCTTAGAATGCTAACAATAAACAAATAAGCATAGCACAGTATAAAGGCTCTCAGTAAACATGTATGTAACTAACGTCTCTTAGCTAGGTGCAGTGGTGTGCACCTGTAGTTCCAGCTACTTCAGGAAGCCAAGGTGGGTGGGGAGGATCACTTAAGCCCAGGAACAGAGATTGTAGTGTGCTATGGTCATGCCTGTGAATAGCCAGTACACTGCAGCCTGGGAAACACAGCAGGACCCTGCCTTCAAAAAGAAAAATAAACAACCTTTGTTAGCCTCAGTTTCTTCATTTGCAAAATGGCAGGTAAACACAAATTTCTACCTCATATTGGTGTCAGGAGAATTAAGTATAGGTAAAGTATCTAAAACAATGCCTTGTACATGGAAATTAAAAAAAAATTTAATAAGTATTCAATCAAAATGAAGGTATTATAACCTATTCAGTTCCATATTACAGGTTAAATCTACTTTCAGCCTTTCCACAATCAGAATCATATTAATTCCTTTAAACAGCAAAAATTTTTCCATAATGTTTAGGTCCTAAAATAAGCGACTTGAAATCAAGGATAAGTTCTTTGTTTGTTTGTTTTAAGATTACAAACACGCTATTTTGCCAACTTCCTGAGGACTTGGGAAAGGCAGGGGTGAAGTGCTGCCCTCAGCACCTACCCTGATACCTACCGAAGTATTTGGCCCATACCAGCCCCTCAGCAGAATGTTTCCTACTGAGTTCAAAGTATGGTATTTAGAAAACATGTACGTGTGTGAGAGAGAGCAAAAGGAAATGGAAAGCGGCCAGCATGAATATAAAATTATCTTACAGTTTTCTGGGATGAGGACAGTTTTGATTCTATGGAATCTAGCCAGAGAATTTGTTAAATAAAAACCAAAGACCACAGGTGTCATTCCTCATCTTATTCTAATTACTTGGTTTTTCTCATCCAGGAGCACTATGAAGTACTAAAATTATCTGCTTCTGAGCGCAATTGGGAAGTTTCAGAAACTCGATCCAACCTGGTAGATGGTGCAAAACCGTTTGATAACCACAGTACGAGAATATTCATCTGGCTAACTGGGGAATGTCTCCCCTGTTAAACAAGGAGTGAGGACATTTCCCAAGGTGTAAATGAATTGCAAAGCCACTGTTGAATGTTGTCATGCAAAACACTAACCCTTTATTACTGATCTCCAGAGACCCTCAGCGGTATACTGTGACCAACTAGAGCACAATAGAAAGGAAAGCACCACCTGCCAACTACGCCCGGCCTCACAGATCACTAGATAAACAAGGGAAATACACACCATCATGTGCTAAGGAGACAACCACATCATTTTTCTATGCCTTGACAGTGGCCTCAAGTTCCTCTAGTATTCTTTTCTCTATATGCATTAATCATATACTCAGAAAACCAAAAATAGACTCTCAAGATGAAGTTGCAAATCACTAGCACTGAAATAGCTCTGGATCTACAGAAAACAGGGAAATCTCAGGGTTTTAAGCAGTGGCAAGGTATCTCAAGTGTCTCCCCAGGAGCAGGAGCAGGGGTTAGGGGAGGAGCAGATAAAGGCATTATGAAAGCCTATGCAGCAGCCACTCACCCACCAGATCACGAGTATTTCAGTATTTTTGTAACTGGAATACCATACCAGGCTGAATATCACTCTTGTGTGGAACCGTATTTTCTACACGGTTCTAAAATGGATCCATTCACCAGTTACTGAATTACATATTGCAAGCTTATTCCTAGAGAATTCTTCTAAAACATATTTTTAAAATTCAAACTACTACCACCAATTTATTTTACATGTAAAAGTGTCCTTTTAAAAGTCAATCTTGCTACTTATGTTAAGAGGTTTATATTTCAAAGTGAATTTTTTTTTAAAAAAATGCATTAAACACTCTCAATAAGCTAATCTTTTCCCATCTGGCTGAAGATTCTAGGATGTTTGGCTTCATCTTGTTCAGGGAAACAGAGCAGGCTCCCAGAACAATATGTTGCTAGGAAACCTTCCAAGCTTATTTATCTTGTGCTGTGGGGTGATACTGAGCATCCACCTGTGACTGGCACAGTGCAAACGTGGGGGAAAGGGTGGAGGAGGAAGAGACAGGAGAGCTGCTATGAAACTCTTGTTATTTATGAGGTAATCAAAGAAAACATACTTTCAGTTTTAAAAACTATATTTCAGGACAAAATTGATTTTATTTTAGATAATACTGAAGGTTGAAATTTTTTTATTGGAGAAAGGAATAAAAACCTCTTCACTATGTAGTTTTCATTAAAAGAGCAAAAAGTCATTAAGAATTATCAGAATTGAAACAACCTATAAGTGCGCACTTGAAGAAAGTGTCAAGAATCATCAGTTCTTTTACATGTCTACCTAATTTAGGGGTCCTATTACACCAGCAGTCCACCCCCTGGCCTTTCTAGCACTTTCTACTTTGCTCAGTTTAGGAAATGTTCTCAAAGAATCCATAATTGTTTGATGAGTGCCAGTGATAATGAGCATTCACCACTCAAATGATATTTATCAAAAACAACCAAACAAATAGAAAAAGAAAAAGAAAAGGATACCCAATCATGATAAGACAGTCCCTAACAAGTATGACAGCAATCATTTAAATAATCGGCTAAGGCTTGGCATTTTGTACTTGACAACTACATTTAGGGAAGGCAGCATTTAAGACAGAGCCAGTGTTTTTACCTTTTGAATTGTTTACGATGTTTATAGATATTTCACACTGTGTTTGCCCCTGACATTTAAGTTCCCAACATAAATATCTATTTGCACAGAATTAGCAAACTGGAGCTGGAGGGACCTTCGGACACTGCCTGTCTGGTGCAGTCCCTTTCTTCAGGATGAAGGCACTGAAGCACTGTGGTGGAGCCCTGGAAGGAGCCAGGTAGCTGCAGCAGAGCCAACTGGAGTCTGGCTGGGGCTATGGGCTCTCTGGCCTGCACTCCACCCTTTCCTGGCACTGGGCCAGGTAAAGTGGTTCCCAAACTATAGTCATTTGAATACCACTTTCATTATTTTTGCCACAGCCACAGACATTTTACTTACTATTTTTTCTTTAAATCAGCTATTTTTTTAAATGTACATTGATTTTACAAGGAAACAATCATTTGGAAGCAGGAGTCAATACAGACAATTGGGGCAGGCAGAATAATGGCTTCCCAAAAATGTCTGCATTCTACTCCCCAGAACATGTGAATATATTACCTTTCATGGTAAAATGGATTTTGCAAATATGATTAAGGTTAAAGACCTCAGATTGGAGGATTATTTTAGATTATCTGGATGGGCTCAGTGAAATCATGAGTCATTAAAAGAGGAGAACTCTTTAGGACTTCACTCAGAGGGAGAGGTAACTACTGCAGAAAAGTCAAAGAAATTCGACATTGCTGGCTTTGAAGATGGAGGCAGACAGAGGTCCATGAGTAAAGGGATGTGGGCAGCTTCTAGGGGCTGGAAGAGACTGGGAAATGGGTTCTCTCCAAGAATTTCCAGAAAGGAAGCCCCGTGAATACTTTCATTTCAGCCCAGTGAGACTCATACAAGAATTCTAACCTACACAACTGTAAAATAATAAATTTATGTTCTTTTAAGCCACTAAGTTTGTAAGTTATTTGTTATGGTAGCAATAAGAAATGAAAACAACATAATATATAAATAAGTTCAATTAATTAAGCTACAAAATGTTTACAAACAAAATTCAGTTGAAAGTCTTAACACTTCTGCGGAAAGCAAGATAAAAATTCCCATGCCCTTTATTTTATAACCAACTTTATTTTACAACCAAATTATGTCAATATAAAATAAACTGTAAACTGTTAAACCTTATGCTATAAGTACCAGAATACCAAACTAGACAGCAGAAATCAAACGTTAAAAACATTCCTCCAGCCAATAAGTAGATTCACTTGGTCCTTTTCTGCTTTCTTTCTCTTATCATGGCAACTGGCTGTGGTATTTGTTAAGCTGTACCCAGTGGCTGCCAAGGATCGGCGCAATGTCCACTGATATTTTCTATTATGTTTTATTGTATTCCATTTTTTAAATGTCTCTTCAGGACCCTCTAAACTGATTTCCGGACCAGAACTTTGATGGACACCACACTAAATCAAAAGGGCTTTCTCATCTACTCCCCTGATGACAATACCCAGCGGGGTGTAATTCTAAATCACTGGGGAAACTTTATTAACTCCACTCCTCATCACCAATACTCTTACCTGCCATTTGCTGATGACAGTGGGTCGTATTCAGGTGTTATCAGGAAATACAAAGAAAAGAGTCTAACAAGTTTGAGGCAAAGGGGAGTGGTAGGGGAACG